GCCAGGGCAGTGGGTGTCCCCAGCCAGGGGGGACCTCAGTGTTGAGTGACCCCAACCAGGGGATGTCACCAGGTGACCCCAGCACTGAGTGTCCCCAGTTCTGGGTGTCCCCAACCAAGGGTGTTCCCCCAGTTCTGGGTGTCCCAAACCAGGGGTGTCCCCAGCATTGGGTGTCCCCAGACCTGGGTGTCCCCAACGAGGGGCCTCCCCCAGTCCTGGGTAACCCCACCACTGGGTCTCCCCAGTCCTGGGTGTCCCAAACCAGGGGTGTCCCCAGCATTGGGTGTCCCCAGACCTGGGTGTCCCCAACGAGGGGCCTCCCCCAGTCCTGGGTAACCCCACCACTGGGTCTCCCCAGTCCTGGGTGTCCCAAACCAGGGGTGTCCCCAGCATTGGGTGTCCCCAGACCTGGGTGTCCCCAACGAGGGGCCTCCCCCAGTCCTGGGTAACCCCACCACTGGGTCTCCCCAGTCCTGGGTGTCCCCAGGCTGAGGTGTCCCCAACTGAGGGTGTCCCCCCAGTCCTGGGTGTCCCCAACCAGGGGTATCCCCAGCACTGGTTGTCCCCAAACAAGGGTGTCCCCAGTTCTAGGGTGTCCCCAGCACTGGTTGTCCCCAAACAAGGGTGTCCCCAGTCCTAGGGTGTCCCCAGCACTTGGAGGACCCCCTAGCACTGGATGTCCCAAATCCTGGATGTCCCCAAATTGGGGTGTCCCCAACCAGGGGTGTCCCCAGTCCTGGGTAACCCCACTCCACCCCGCACCCCAAAACCCGACCTCCGAGGCACCGTGTACCGCCCGCCTGGACAGAGCCCTTCCGCTCCTACCCCTTTTATTTTTTTTTCCTCTATTTTTGCTTTTTTTTGTATTTTTTTTTTCCTTAAATAGATCTCTCTCTCTGAAATAAGTAATTTTGTGTATTTTTTTTTTTTTTTAACGTGTGTTTGGACACAAAATAAAGCTTCTGGGTGACCCCACCACTGGGTCTCCCCAGTCCTGGGTGTCCCCAAAGAGGGGTGTCCCCAAAGAGGGGTGTCCCCAGCACTGGGTGTCCCCAAACAGGAGGTCCCCAGCACTGGGCGTCCCCATAGAGGGGTGTCCCCAGTCCTAGGGTGTCCCCAGCACTTGGAGGACTCCCTAGCACTGGATGTCCCCAAATTGGGGTGTCCCCAGCACTGGGTGTCTTTTTTAAAAAAAGGGGAGAGAAACATCTTTAAAGAGAAAAATCGGAGGAAAAGTACTAACTAGATTTTGTGACACCGTCCCCAGCACTGGGTGTCCCCAAACAGGGGTGTCCCCAGTCCTGGGTAACCCCACCACTGGGTCTCCCCAGTCCTGGGTGTCCCCAAAGAGGGGTGTCCCCAGTACGGGGTGTCCCCAGCCCTGGCTGCCCAACACCCAGTGCCACCAGCAAACCCTGCAAAATCCTGCTTGTCCACTCACTCACACAATGAGGCAATTTTTGGCCGTTTCCTCCCTGAGCCGCTGCCGGCGGCTCCTCCCTCTGGCAAATTCGGC